CCTGCGTATTTATGCGACATATGGATGATCTGCTCAAGATAACCCATCGCATACTGTGTTAAAACACCAGGTCGTGAAGAATTTGTTGCAAAGAAACTGCATTCCTTCTAAGTAACGCACACGAGGTCTCTGCGCTGTGGCCAAGTGGGTATGTAAACACCACTTCCCTGTGTCCAAACCAGCCGAAGCCTCTGTAAATACATTCTTACAATAGAAGAAAAAAGGAGAAGCCGGAGTGCAGAAGTGGCACGGCTTCACAAGCTGGAAAACTTGAATGACAGGAGTTGTGAGCCTGCGCTGCCTTCATATAGGCAAAGGTCTCTGGCCATAAAGCTCATGCATGCCCTTTAATGGCGAAAGAAACCTTGAAGGCTGCGTTATACAACACGTTAACCAACTCAAGTTGAAGCCCCCCTTTTGTTGTTGACGCTGTTTCCAAACTTTGACCTGGCGATCCCGCAATCATTAAAAAAAAAAAAAAAAAAGATAACCTGCAGTTTTGGATACGTTTTGTAAATTTCACTCAGGACAGCTGTGGCTCCGTACGTGGCCGTATCCTACCTATTAAAATTCCCCCAAGGAAGTTGCTCTTAAAAAAAAGGAAAAAAAAGAAAAAACAAAACAAACAAACAACAACAAAAAAAAACAATAGGTGGATCGCTGAGAGTAAAAGGAGCAAAAAAAATTAAGTGAAAATCTATCTCCACTTACGCGAAAACTCCCGTTTGCTCAAGTGCTGGGGTTTGCCTTGCTTGCGGCGAGACATGTTGGTTCAGTGGTGGCTTTTCAGCTGAGTTCACATTGGGAAATCCGTTCTTACAAGGTAGACTCCAAAAGGAATATCTTCATTGATGACATCCAAATAGGAAAAAGAAAAAAAAAAAGAAAGGAAAAAAAGAAGAAGAATAAAAATAAAGAGGAGCTGCGGATCATGCAGAGGGTGAGGCGTTGCGCGCTGTGGGCTGCGCGGAGCTCTTCATGACTTTTTCGCAAAGAGAGAGTGATGGGGGTACGGAGGAGCCCCCCTGAGCTGCAAGTTCAAGCGCGGACGTGACGTTCCTGCGAACTTGAACGTCAGGCGGTGAACGGACTGAGACACACAAAACATGGGCAGGGCGAAGCCGGCCAGTGGGAGGGGGGCTAGCCATAATAAAAACCAATGGACACTCATTATGGACTACCTATGGAAGAGAGAGAGAGAGAGGGGAGAGGGGAAGAGAGAGAGAGAGAGAGAGAGAGACCCCGAAGACACCAATGGACGAAGGGGATCAAGGGGGCTGGGCTAAGAGAGAGAGAGACACTGAAACACACACACACAGAGAGAGAGAGAGAGAGAGAGAGAGAGAGAAGTCCAAGAGCAGCAGGAAAAAAAGCGCATGAGCTAAATGTAGCGAGGATGTAGTGGAGAGAAAAGCAGCTCCGAGTTCATTAGAGTTTCTATTCAGGCTCATATGAATATTCTTATGTTCTCATGCAAATTTATATGGCAGACTGGAGATCTAAATATTAGGGTACATAAAGACGTGCTTTTATTTTATCACCACTTACATTGAATTTAATTGTATTCCCATGAGACATGACACTGACTCTATATTCTACCTTTAAAAAAATGTGTGTGCATCCTTTGAGGAAAAGAGGTTCTTACTTTGCTTTTAGGCAAACTTTCAGATTGAGCATCACACTGTAAAGCGAACTCGGTTGGTCAAAAAAGAAAAACAACTGAATAAAGAATGTCATATACACAATAATATCGTAATATACAGCAAAAAAGAAGAAAGAATTAACAAAGACAAATTATGAAACCTGCATTTAGTGTAATCTAATTTAGAGAATAGTTTGGTTTGCTGTTGTTGAACATGTTTAAGGTGCTATATCAGTTGCGTGATCAGTGTGAGCAATGAACCTGAGTCTAAATTCAAAAACTATGAATGGAAACGATGTTTTAGAAGAATATGTTGCATATTCAGACATTTCTGTAACCTTAAATACAGAATTTATAATAACAGAAAAGACAAAAATTCTCATCCAAAGTCATATGTGGCATTAGCAATTACACTATTAAATTTACATGTCTACATTGCAATTTTCCATGACTACAAGGTTGTTAATTGGGATGTTTTCCTAATATTTGTGTCCTTGTGATTTATATGCAGGGTTTTGTTTGTTTGTTTGTCTTATTGTGATTAGTGTTTACTGTCCAGGTGCCTGGATTTACAATCACGTGCAACTAGGAAACTTGATATTTGAATCTAGAGGCCAAAAGTAATGAAGCAAAAAGAGAAGCCTAAACTTTAGCATAATTCAAACAATTTTGGTAGTTGTAGTTGTAGTTGCATTTCTTCTGCATTGTTTGATTGGTTTAATCTACAAATAATGTTGTTTAAAAGCATTTTTTTTTAAATGTCCGGGTTTTCCCATCACTCAGGGGCCCTACAGGTGAATAAGGATCATCCAACGTGGCTTTAGGCTGATTAAATCGTGCGTAATGGGACCTCTAAAGGGCATCCATCTAAAACAATGAAGGTCAATTAGTACATGAAGGTGGCCTAACGCACAGGTATGTCTCACCTGAGCCTCATTGTTCTACGTTATTACACAAGTGTTGAAAATACACTAAACAATGGGCCTGTTTTCTTTTTAATGTCTGGCTTTACGTCACGATCATAATAAATAAAGTTATAACAGATTGAGTCTAAGCCAGATTAGTCACATATAGGCCATAAAAGTCGCCTCTCTAACTTAACACAGATGAGGGCCCATAAATAACACTGAACTCACCCATAGTGGTTACATATATATGTATATGGGTAATGCTTTGTCGGACTGCTGATATTTGGAACAGACTTGCTTTGATTTCTACGTGCGAGTTTCAGCATTTTTGCTGGTGCTGGATCATCAATCAGGCTCATCAACAGCTCGACTGAAACCAGCACCATCCTCACAGCTCAGTACTTTGACGCCATCTAGTGTTTCGATTCGTGATTGGCTTTGGTTGCAAAAATCATAATTCAAGTACGTATTGAAAAATAATTATATATAAAGTACAAACGTGGACTTTCTCGAAAAGCTTCAAAATTGCGCGTATTTTTTTCGTTCGTTTGCGTAAACTGCAATTTATTTATAAAATATTAACACTTAAATACTCTGTTACATAATTGTAATCAAAACCTACAACACTTCTGCACAAAAATTACGTTTTTCTTTCAAAATAACGTTCAATTTAACACTACGTTACCGTCATATGCTGCGTTTTCAAGTGTAATCATGAGGAGTCATTGTCCAAAATCCACAATCATCCATCCAATTTGGGCCACTCACGGTTAGCTGTCAGTTCAGTATTGCATAACCCTTTAGTTCTCTTCCCACATGAGCTCGTAGCGCCACCGTGAGGCCAAGACGCAGCGGTGTTGGAGGAGCAGGGCTGGGCAGCGGGTTTACAGGAGCAGCACAAGCGGCGGAGGCAGCGCTGTTCATAATCCTCCACATATCGGATGCTGATTGACCGTAGAGCAGCTGGTGAGAGACGTTTATCTTCCTCTGTTTATTATCACAGCAGGTCCGCTCTGACGCTTAGATTGTTTTGGCTGCTTCCTCGGCTTTTAAGGATGGAGACGGTGAAATGAGCATCGCTGTTTGTGCGACAGCCCTGTACGTCGTCCATAACGGTCGTGATCCTTTACAGCCTCCATAGCATTGATTTAGTCAAAACACGTGATGGCTGTTATCGTGAATCTGTCTAAATTAGCCTGTAATGAGGCTCGAAAAAGGGCGTGCGTAAAGGAGACGTGAAGGATCAATGTACGCTTCAGATGACAAGTCGGTAATTAGCGTCAGACTCCCTGTAGCGGTATATGCAGCCTGTTTTTCAACCACAATGTGCATGATTTTTGTTTAACAGTAGATTTTTCTTGCTGTGTATCACTCACTGGGTTCTGGTACCGCTATTAAATGGCTCCATGACTGGACTGAGACATGGCCTAACTGGGCTAATTTTCCGGCTCTGTCATTGGCCGACTACAGATCATAAGCTGCGGCCGCACAGTTGATGTGAGCTCATTTGCAGAAAAGGAAATTCATATCTGCGGAGTGCATGAATCCGTGTGTGGTCAAGCGTCTAAAGAGAAAATCTGGGCCAGTAGGAGACAGGCCACTGACCGACTGGGCCACGTCTAATAGGGGAGCGAGAGGGAGGGGAGGGATGTCAGGTCACTCTCAGGTCTCGTTGGGATTGAGTTGATGCACAAACAGGAGCCTCCCCAAATACGACAAAGTGTGCATAATTAAATTCCACTAATTCACCTATGGCTCCCCCGGAGCGTGAGTCAGCAAGGCCTGTGTGCTGCTGCTGATGCTGCTGCTGCAGAGGGAGGACCGGCAGTTTGTTCCACTGAAAAAAGCTTTTGTGCTGCTCTGAGTGCAGGAATCCTGACAGCTGCCTGGGAATCATATGAGAGAATCATGGGGAGATGTGGGTTTTCGAAGAGATATATTACTGCTCTCTTTATCTTCTCTGACTTCCTGCCTCTTTCTGGCCTGTGTGTGCTGATTGTGTGGCTCTGTCTTGAATTAACTCTTAATGCTTGCATCATTGTCTCTGTATTATGTCTTTACATCTAATCATTCTTCTTTCTTTCCATTTGTGTGGCTCGAGGATTTGGTGACAGGGCAAGAAATTCACTTTGGGACTCTAAAAGGATGCTTGGAATACTGTAAGCCGTTTCTTGATTTTCACACTTAAACTTTTCCTTTTTATGTTGTTAGCTGCACTACACGGAGCAATAAGCATGTCAGTGTCCTCGGGTGATAACTGAAATAGCTACTGTGCCTATGACACATCAGCACACGTACAGATGCTGAAGTAATTTTCCTGCTGTAACTGTACGAAGCAGCATTCACGCCCCTTAGCGCTGTTTCATTGCTCAAAGTGTAAACAACTGTCGATGCTGCCCTTGTTTTCAGCAGGATGCACTAAGGGTCAAAGGTGAGCTTGAGAGGCAGAGATGAGTCTGACTTCCTGGTTCCTGGTGAGCTGCGGGGGGACACGCCATCGTCTCCCCAGGGAGATGATCTTTGTGGGGAGGGACGACTGTGAGCTCATGCTGCAGGTACAGTATCTCCACTGGACATAAACCCTTAGCTGTCATTCTTTATGGATTATTATCTGTAGCACCGAGATTAGCCTGGATTACAGTGATTGACTGGATTTTGTATGATTTAGTCCCGCAGTGTGGACAAACAGCACGCCGTCATCAACTATGAGCCAAATACAGATGAACATAAAGTGAAGGACCTGGGCAGCTTAAATGGGGTGAGTATGTTGTTTATTTACTCATCTTGCATAGTCAGTTTATTCTCTCACGCTAACATAGCAGTGTAGAATGGTCTGACTGCACCTCATCTACTTTCAGCAAAAGTGGGAAAAAAATCACTGATCAATCATTTGCATGCAGGCCGGCGAGCACTGTGATAAATGGATTATTCACTAAAAACTAGCAGAGCTGCTTCACGTCACCATCCACACTTTTGGCAAAACTTGAAATATTCAGTGTGGTAGGGTAGGTTGCTAGTCTGGAGGTTGCTTCTCATAGCAAAAGGGTTTTTGAAAATGATAACAGGCAGATAGGGGAAGTGGAGGAGAAAATCTTGGACAATACAGAGCCGTTTGCAGGCTTTTACCCACAATCTTAATCCAGTGAGTCAGACTATTTACTAGTTTTTGTCGTGCTGTGCAATCAGTGCTGACAGTTGTCTTCTGTGGTTGTGGACAGAAGCTCTGTCGCGTGTGTGTGTGAATAAAACTCTGATGCGGTCAACAAAAACCTTGTGTTACAAATTGTGTAACACATGGGGTTGTTTATCGGGCTAAAACAGCATAATAAGACACTATGATGTTGCATTATGGGAAATGTAGGCTATAGTGCTTTGTGGGTGTGGAATATATGAGGGAGTAAAACTCAAGAAATTCTGTTGCTCTACATGAGAGCATTTGTATTGGTTTCTCTGAAGCCTAAAAACTCTACAAAAGTGCACTAAATTGAAAAACTAAACTGCTGAAGTGTTCTTTAGCTGCTTCATCATATTAGTGCTTGCAAAAGCAGTCTGTATGACTACAAATCATTTTGCAAGAATAAGTGAATAGAACTGGCATCATTTTTCAGTACTTGTATCTGTTCTTAGGGGCCGTACTAGTTTGGAGAAAACAGTCTTTAAGTTTGCTGCCCTCTTTTCTTTGCAAAATTTGCAGAGCTGTCTGAATCTGGAAGAGCTGATGTCACTAAAGGAAGGCCGAGCAACTTTACTTAAAGGAAGAGCTATGTTATGCTTGACTCACACTGACCCTGTATGATTATTGACATTGCTGACTTGAGACATGTATTTTTTGTAATTTTATAATGTTATAATCTTAAGGCAAATTTTATTTAAATTGTTACATGTACGTACATCTGTATCTGTTATTTTGTGCTGCTGCCTGTCCTGATCAATAGGCTCATGTAAAAGGGATTGTTACTCTCAGTGAGTCCTAATAAAGAAGTGCAAATATGATATATGGGCTATGCAGAAACTATCAATAAATGCTTTTTATTATTTTCTGACAAAGCATTTGGTACTAGTATTAGCACTTGGTTTGCAGCACTGCTATGGACACAGCACCATGTTATGCACAAACAGTATTTAGGTATAAGAAGAATTTATTTAAACTAGTAAATAATTTTACTCCTAAACCACACATCTGATATGTTGTTCTTAACTACATTCTTTTGCATTTGTTCACAGACATTTGTCAACGACGTCAGAATACAGGAGCAAATCTATGTCACGCTGAAAATTGATGATAAATTGAGGTTTGGATACGATATCCTTTGAGTATATACCTGTGTTTTTTGTTACACTCAGTGACACACAACACAAGGTCAGTGAATATGGACCACAGTGTAACTTTATCTGTTCTTGAATAGCTGTGAATGATCATTGTACTCTGCCTGCTGCATTATAGATGAGACTATCAGTGCATGGTTCTCACCCTTGCCAAGGGCTCATCGTCTTTTACCTTAACCTGCCTCACATACCAACCTGTTCACTGTGGTTCGAGGAGAGCTGCATATTCCAGAGGAGGCCCTCAAGGTTAGACAGCATGCTGTGTGGTGAAAACTAATAGCCGAAGTCCATACGATTGCAGACAGGGTAAATATGGCTGCTCAAAACAGAACAGCCAGAAAGCTCTTGTGGGTTTTTTTTTTTTTTTCCATCAGTGTGTAGAAATACCTTAGAGAGACAGAGTTTAGTCAAAGAGATCAAAGATTTCTGCTGAACTGGGCAAAAAATACTTTTCAAGACTGATGATTCTGCTGTTTCATCAGCGCAAACCTACCCAGGTAGCTGCAAAAGCGATAGGATTTCATCTTAATGAGCTACATGAACTTTCAGCATTAATATTCAGTGTCTCTTCAATTATATGCTCTGACTGAGATAAAAAGAAAAAGGAAAGGCATATATTTAAATCTCTAAAAAAGAAAAAAAAATCATCATTAGCTTCAATAGAATCATGAGTCTAACAGTACTGTCTTTATAAATTCTCATTGTTCTTGTCTCATTTACCAGCATGAGAAGTACAGCAGCCAGCTTCAGCTGAACCAGAAAAAACCTCCAGTGACAGAATCATTCAAACCTGAGGTGAAACCGTCCGAGGTGGCAGCAGCACCGATGTGTGAGGGAGCCACCGCCAAACCCTCCGACGCCAGCAGGACAGAAGAGAAACCCACAGGTGAGCTGCAATGTTGAAAAAAAATACAGTACAAAGAAACAGGTTGTAACAAAGCACTTTCATATTATGTGCCAGTCACAACAGCACATGCTCCAGATGAAAATCTCTCTCACTTTCATAATTTTGCCTTCTTCAAAGACCATATTGGTTGGTTATGCTCAAAAGTAGTTTGAACTGATTTGTCAGTAGCCACAAAAGTAATTGCCAAGAATTTGGATCATTATTTAGAACCACTGAAAAGGCCAAACATGACTTGTTCTTGCTTCGTTTCACAAAGCACAAGCAATTTAATGGAGTAAAATAATGACTGATCAATCATTATTATTCAAATGTAAAAGTGACCATCAGAATGCTAGGTGCAGTATTAAAGTGAGCTATCAACAGTAACAGCCAAAGTTGTCCAACACTACCTAATGGCAGTCTCTGAATCCCAAGCGGTTTCTAGGGGTTTACTGCTCCTGTCATATTTTTATTCACTGTGGACAAATTTTTCACTACAATATAAAGTCCTGCACTCAAAGGAGGAGAGAGTTTATACAAAAATTGAACAAAAACTGGAAACAACATTTTTTTTCCAAGTGCCCAGGTGTTTTTACAGAATGAGGTTGGCGCAACCACTTAATATTTGGAAAAATTTTAAATGACACACATACAATAAGGTGACTTTGATGAATTATCATGATTTTAAACTTAGATCTGTATTATTTCCCAACAGAACAGTCACATGATAGATTACTAGTTCAAGGACCATCAGATGGTTAGAAATTAAACAATTCCTTCAGTTTTTACAGTTTCTGACGTTGGTGTCATTTTGGTGACAGCGCGGCTTTTACATCCACCAACAGGTTTGGGGTTCAGAGGGTTAAACTATTTTTATTGCTTCTTCTGGCATTTTATGACTTTTTTTTACACTGTGGACAGTCGAGTAATAACAGAAAATGAGATGAAAGATGGATGAGAAATAAAAAGCAACAACACTGGGGAAACTGAGTTTCATGGTGTGCACCATAACCACATAGGCCACAAGGGTTCACCTAGCTGCTTTAAACCCTCTGGCTTAAATGCAGGTGTATATTCCAGTGTAGTAGGACTAACTAACATGTTATTTTTGCCAGGGGACATAGCAGTATTGCACAGAGGCACCCCCCTTTATGGTCAACCTGCCTGGTGGGGAGATGGAGAGGCTGATGACCAACAGCCAGCAAGGCCTGAAGAAAAGAGTTCAGATCGGAAGCGAGAGAAAGCTGAAACAGGTATTAACAGTGCTGCGTAGAAACTACAAGAAAGATGCTACAGTATGTGATCTCATCATGTAGTTGAGGCAGTAGTTAAGGCGGTAATTGGCAATTAGCATTTTGAATAAGTTCAATATTTCAAAATGTTATCAACATTTTGTAGACATGTTTGCATTAATTCTGACAGACACCAAGAAAAGTGCAGAGATCCCAAAGTCTGCTCAGCAAACAGCCTCCAATCAGGAGCCTAGCTACTTTGAGATCCCAACCAAGGATGCTCCCTCAGCAGGTAAAGGTGGCGGTGAGCCTCCTTCACGAGAGCAAGAGGCCGGTGCTCCTGCTACTGCAGAGCCCATCCATGGTCACGCCTCCTTCACCATCGAGTTTGACCCCGGGGCATCAGGTAAAGTTACCGTCAAAGATCGAGTGGCGAAGGTTGGACAGGAGACCAAACCACGTCCTAAAAGGCCTGCTGGGGAGGAGCTGAGTCCGCTGCAGACGGCCATGGTTGCAGCAGAGGTCAAAGTTGCTGATTGGCTGGCCCAGAATGAGCTACCATTGGCTCTAAAAGAGACGGTTGCAGAGGATGATGGAGAAAGTGTGAAGAGTGACATTCCTGTACAACTTAGGAGTCTTAAAGGTGTGTATATGATAAACGGTGTGATTTGTAATTTATCTCCGAGTCTCCACATTCTGACTAGTTACATTCCTCTCTGTCCAACTCATGGCAGGCAGTAAACATGAAGACGGCACTCAGAGCGACTCAGAAAATGCACTGGGAGAGCAACGCCGAGCTGCAGCACTGGAGGAGCGCTCGTGGGGGCTTTGGGGAGGTGCAGGGATGAAGATCAGAGAAGGTCGCGCAAACGTGCCGGAAGGTCTCTTTGCAGAGGAGGACAGTCCTGCTCGTCGTCGCAAGTCTTCAACTCCCAAAGTGGCGAGTGGGTTCCCGGAGAAGCGACGCGGCTCTGCTCCACATCAGCAGAGTGGGCGTGAAGAGTGCTATCACCATGGAGATGATTACAGCGACAGAGGGACTTACACTATTGAGCTGGAGAACGGAGATCATGAAGAAGAAGAGGCGAGGAAGCTGATTGACAAGGTCAAGTTATAATCTATTTACTTAATCATCTTCCAATCGTAATTATAAAACAGTAATTTTTCATCTGTGTTTGCTTGTGTGTGTGTTTCAGGTGTTTGGTGTGGATGAGCAGTCTTGTAGTGTGTCCAGGTTGGGAAGCGGCGACCAAAGAGAGAGACTCAGCTCCCAGAGGTCTGGTCCTGCAGACAGAGGACAGCCTGGATGCATGGAGACAGAGGTGCAGAAGTCTTCATCTACTTTCAAGTCTATGAACTGCCTGATGACTGACTAAATTTTAAAACATATTTGTCCCTGATACCTTTGACCTTTAAATAACACAATGTAATTTTATGTTTCTTTGTGTGAAATTGCTCCTTGTAGATAATGAAGTTTACATTGACCTTAAGTCTGTTTTTAGCAAGGTATTAGCATATTAGTATTGGTGACCTTTGTGAGATTACTCTGTTCAAACTGTGTCGTGTTTTCCTGGTTCAGGTCATGTCTGCGGAGTTGGTGGTGGGTGGTCCTCGCTGGGTGTCGCAGTGGGCTACTCTCGCTGCCAGCCACATCAGGACAGACCCTGAGGGGTCAGGAGGGGACAGCCACATCATGGTCACCGAGGACAGAGGTACTGTAGGTACAAAGCCCTTTCAGTCATAAGATGCAATTGAAATTAGGGCCTACATATTGAAAACTGGGCGGCGGGGTGGCGCAGTTGGTTGTTGTTGCCTCGTAGCAAGAAGGTTGCCGGTTTGTGGGTAGGCTGAGGTTCATTATTTTCAACATTTAAGACTATTACTTATGACGTATAACCAATCAGAGATCAATCGAGATCCGAAATGTGACTACAAGTAATGAGAGGATACTGCATCAGAGCACATTATCAAATAAACTAGCTTTATCAAATTTATAATATTGATAATCAAAAAAATGATGACTATTGAATCTGGTAATGAACCTGGCTGGTAGTCAATTGACCCCCAGTGTGCAATGTCATTCTATATTGTCATATGAGTATCCTTTTCTATTTGGGTAAATCTTGCAGTTTTGGGGATTTTGTTCAACTTTAATGATTAACTTTTGGCAGACACTGTGGCTACAAGGCACAAATAAATGAAAACAATAGATAATGTAGCTAAGTGTAACCAAAGCACAATTAGATTAGGATCACGAACTAACTCTGTAGTCAGTTAAACAGCAATCTACCTTAGTTACATGACATTAGATAACAAGCAACTGTTCATACCAGACCAATTAGGGTGTTGAAGCAAAACCTCCAGGAGTACTGAAGAGAGCTACTTCATATGAATTTAACTTTTCATTCATAACTGTAAGGATTAGTTATTTCTCTCAAAAGGTACATGGTGTAATATGTGCAAGCAAACTTGAAACTGCTCGCGACTGTCGTTGATTTTATGGCTTGTGACCACAGAGGTTGCTGATTAGCAAAAGCAACACTTTAAGCATACATTTTGTAGCAAAATCGTGCAACACTTGTGGAACATGTAAACATGTTTCTACAATTGAGGCAACTCCCAGTCAGATAACCAAACTACATACTGGAAACCTGCTTTTAATAGATAGTTACATCTATTACCTTTCTGTTGCCTCAACTTTCAAGAATAAGTGACTAAATTCATGTAGGCGCTTTCTGCAAAGGATCACTATACATATTTTCTCCAGTATAATATAATTATAGTCAATAAAGTGTTCAATACATTTGTCAAAAACACAGAACAGATCACTACCACCATTAATGTGTAATACAAATGTAGCAAAGGGCTGTCTTTACTAATACAAGATTTTCTCTCCATTCAGCTGAAATAAGTAAATCCAGTCACTCGACCTCCTTTCCATCCTCTGGCTACGCAGAGCGGAAGAGAAGGACCCTTCCCCAGCTGCCTAGTGAGGAGCTCAGTTTGGGGAGGAGGACTCCAGGATCAGGCCTACGAACAGATATGGGTGAGAAACAGGACACAGAGCTCCAGGAGAAAGAGAACCCAGAGAAGGTGTCCAGGGGGAAGAATCGGCCAAGTCACGGCACCGGAGGTGTGGGCAGTCACAGTGGCAGCCCCAGTCGCTCCTCACCAGCCAAATCACAGGATAGCGGTGGTGGAAGATCAGGCCAGTCAGGGGTGTTGACCAAACTCCCTCCTCGTCCAATGACCAGCGGAGAGAAAAGAATGGAGGAGGCACGGAGGAAGAAAAAGGAAGATGAGAAAGCGAGGGAAAGTAGTGGGAAACCATTGCTGAGGCAGGAGAGTTTTACTGTGGAGAAATCAAGCGCCAATGTGCCCATTGAACTCATACCACGTATTGATGGGCTCTCGGGCACCAGAACTCAGAGTAGGGAGGCTGGCATCGACAGCGCCACACTACAGAAAGACTCAGAGGCTGTGGCAGCCTTTCTAGAGACCACTGTTTCAGACCAAGGCGATCCCCCAAGTCAGTCCATTGAGGGCTCTATGTCGCCAGAGTCAGATGTGGACACAACAAGCACAGTAAGCCAGGCTGACGGAGCGAGGAAAGTCGTGCAGAAACGGCGAATGCTTGCAGGACAGCAGAAGGAGAGAACAGTAGTCTGCTCATCCGGCAAGGTTCCAGCTGGAGGCAGGGAGACCCAGGACAGGAGGGTCAAGAACAGAACATCTGGTCCTCCTCAGCCCAGCCGCCCTTGGACCTCCCTGGACCTCACTGACGATGACATCAACTCCAACTCACTCCTCTCAGACTCACAGCCCACCTCCACACAAGAGTCCAGAAGTTCACATGCCAGAGCCCTGACAGGTAGCACAACAGTGGGGGCCAGCACCAAGTCTAGTCGGGCTAAGATCACCCAAGCTCCGGCCTCTTCTGCACCCGGTAAAGCCACCAATGTCCCCAAACCTCGGCCCACCAGGGCATCCTTGTTGAGACGAGCCCGGCTGGGGGATTCATCGGACACTGAACCTGCTGATCTGGACAGGATGTCAGTGGCCTCTGAGGCCTCCACAGCTAGTTCTACATCCAGGACAGGAATGGCAAAACGGGGGATGTCCAGGATAGAGGCTCTGGCACAGCCGAGGAGGCCAAGGGTGGGGTCCCCATCTGCCCAGAGTGACTCAGAGGCCACAGTGACAAGGAATAGAGGTCTGGGGGCTCGCAGTGCTGGAGGGGATTATGGTATCAGACAGGGCCTGAGAGGATCCAATGTCAACTCAGTGTCTGGACCCAGAGCCAGAGCCAACAGCGCCTCCAAGCTGCCTGACAAGAGTAAAGGAGCCTCCTCATATGGACATGCCGCACCTGCATGTAAGGTTTTTTAGGTTTCTCACTCTGGAAAACTTACAGTATCTGCCACGTCTGGTCTTTATACATTCAAATTTATGCTTTTACTGTAATTATCTGTTTGTACAACCAACTCATTCTTAAAAAGGAATATTTATTTCAGTAGAAAATACATCCAGCATTCAAAGCACCATCTAAGTGCCACTACCGTTCTTTCCTCAGCTGGCAATCGGTGGCGTCGCGTGCCCATGGAGTACGCCTCCACCTCGGAGGACGAGTATGGCTCAAATCGCCACAGCTCCAAGCAGGGTCACACACGGTCATTCCCTTCCACTCGAGTGGCTCAACTTGGAGGTTCAGCTCCAGCAATCCCTAATCCTGCAGGCCTGGCTGCCCTGAAGCAGCACTCCAGGGAACAGGATGATTATATGAGAGACTGGACAGCACACAGTGAAGAAATAGCCAGGTACGTAGGTGACAGGTGCTCCAGTTTAAGAGCTCTTTTCAAACATACTTTTTTGTGTCTTGATGTTTATGAGTTCTTGTGGGAAGTGTGTGAAGCATCACCAAATGAAACGATAAGAAAAACAGATTTTACATAGTAGAGATGATAATATTGGTCTTGTGTTTGTTCTTCAGGATTAGTCAAGATCTAGCCAAAGACCTAGCCATGCTTGCCAGAGAGATTCATGACGTTGCAGGCGAGATCGACTCAGTCAGCCCTGCTGCCACTGACCCTGGAGTTCTGGTACAATCATCACACTGTAAAACATTCACATTCAGTAAATCAAAGCTCTGGTTTTAGGAGATATAATTACAAAATACAAGTTTTTCATTTTGTTTTTTTTTGCAGCTACCCATATTAACTCTATTCTTAATGAAATACATGTCCGAATAAAGTAAAACGCTGTACACCTGACAACAACAAAAGGAATCTCATTAAGAAATGTTTCTTTTCTATACATTGTAACTGTTTTAGTTGGAGGAGCGTGTATTTGATGACAACGCGGACTCGGGTGGCCCCTCCACAGAGCTGGGAACCAACGGGAGGTCTGTGGAGCTTCGACCTCGGGCCTCTAATGGACAGAGCGCCCGCTCTATCCGCCGACAGACATGGAATAGAGATGATGTGAGTCTCTGCTTCAATATGAAAACTTACATAGTTCTCAATATACACAGGCTTGCTATAGAATGTACTGATTTTTTCAGAGTTTGAGTTTGAGATGTTTCTCTCTATATTTCTACTAGGATTAAAGGTGCAACCCTTTATAACTGGGATACACAATCTTGCATAAACAATATGTCATGTGCAAATTTTCTACCTTGACTGTGATTGGTAAATTGGGACAATAATTTGCACATAGCCCACAGTAGGTTGTTGAACAATTGTGCAGCAAAAGATGAGCGTGTCAGGCTGTGTCACAGTGTACCACTAGAGGGAGCTGCGTACATACTTCAGTAGACAAACAGTGCTACTGATTGGATCCAGAGTAGGAGGATGGACAAATAAGGAAGAAAGTTTTCATTGTCGTGTGTAAAAAAAGTATAAATATAACCAGTTTTGATAGCATCTCCCCCATGTACATTAGCCTGTCACTATTTGCTGCTTTTGACCCTGAACACCCAAAGCAGTTTAAGGTTGTTTTTTGCTCCTGTCACATCTTCACTCACTGTGGGCTCATTTTTATCTATTTATTTCATTCTATGGAAACAAAACAACCATGGTTAGAAGTACAAAGAAAAATGCAAATTTCTCTTGTGCAGAATGGCACAAGTATCCTTGCATAAATCATTAAAAAAACACATTTTTAATCGCCCACAGTTGTTACTGATACTACAAGAAAAGGAAGTGGTGACTCTACAAACTGGATATATTTTACTACTTACATTTTTAATTTTTTTCTGTACTTTTTTTTACAACTACTGTATGTAAACACAGCTTGCAGTTCAGTTGAACAGTGCCTGAATTGTTGTAAATTAAACCACTAACAGCTTCTTAGTTGTGCCAATGTGTGCAGATTTTTGTTTTGTGTAGATTTTTTTGTTTTTATTTTTTTTATTGGAAACAGATTTTTGGCATTAAAAAATAGACATGTAGAATCAAGTGGTTTTGATGAAATATGATTTTAAGCTTAGATTTGGATTCTAGTCCTGATGGAGCAGCAGTTCACTCAAGTTCAGTGGTATTTCAAAAGTAGAACACCTGAGGATTCTGCTATTTCTACAGTTTCTAATTGGGATAAATGGTGTAATTTAAGTTGCCTTTCAAACTAGCCAGCAGGTTTTGGGTTTCAGAGATTTAATAAATGTTACGTTGATGTGTTTTTGTTTAATTATCCCTTTCAGGCGATCCTAGACAGTCTACTATTAGCTTCTGTAACTCAGCTCTCAAGCAGGATACGCCAGTCTGTTGACAAAACAACTTGCAAAATCAGGTGAGCATCGTACTATGTCACCAGAGTAAAAGTAGGTTCTTGTGCAGTTATCGTAATTTTGAGTATATCAGATGCATTATGTACTCAGAAAAGAACAAATGCAGGGCAGAACTGTCAAAATTGGAACATATTATGTAGTGTGTTAATGTTCCTGTCTGGGTTTTATCTTGAAACTAGGCCAAACAGCTCAATCTGAGTGGCACATCACAAAGGCATACTACGCAAACCAGCTACATGTTTTTCTCATTAGAGTGACACCTCAAAGAGCTTTTTTCACTCTTACAATTTGCAGTCAAGGCCTGAATGAAATCACTCTAGGAGTCAGCTAGTACTTCTATCAAGACCTATATTAAGCATGCTTTTATGTGTTTTACTTTTATCTATTTTTGTAACAACCTGGCCTCCAGGATTCTCTTCAAGGATAAGGAACGAAAATGGGAGGAGATTGAGGCCAAACTGCAAGCAGAGCATGACTCCTTACTACTCAAGAGCACCAACAAGGTGATGTACATGTCTTCTCCTCATCCTTTCTGTTGTTTTAACTGCTAATGGTTTGTGAAAAACACATTATATTTAAAGTTTAACAGCATCAGCATGGGTCTAGAAATGAAAAAGTTAGTATATCTGTCAATCAGCACATCTCTGGTCCAGGCCGAAAAATTTCAGAAGGATTGAAAAAAGTAAATGTCTTCCAATGGACAGGGTTGCACAATCAAATATTATTCTAGATCACAATTTTAGCTTCCTACAGTTAAATGAACATAATTGACTGCAGTATTGATGTTTAAAATAAATGCTCTGCTCATAGAAAACTCCACTACATATCAGATCACAGCAGCCACCAAGAAGTGATCGAGGTGTTTCACCTTTTTTAAATTGTCATGCCACTGTGCATGCACCTCTGCAGCCTGTGCAAAAACTATCTTCCTGGATGTTGCAGCTGCACTCCAGACTAGATATAACAGTAAAATACTGTACATCAGAAAGCAGACAGTCAAAATGAAAATGATGAGCAGAAGGTGATGAGCTTGTCCCTCAAAATGGATTTTTTTTTGGATTCAGGGCAACTGATGATCAGTAGGAGTAAATCATGTGTGAAGAGTGCAGCAGATTTGCATCTGTGCCGCCATGCAACACAACTAACTTGTTTAACCACCAAAACGTCATATGATGAACACATGAAGGCCGAGAAGAATAGCGTCACTAACATTATCTCACAGAATCCCCGTCTGTGTCCCGGGTCCCCTCGATAACTGCAACACTGTACAGTTTGTGGGGGAAAAGCTATGAAACTATTTATTTTAAAAGGACAGAAGTGGTCTGTTTACATATGAGAGGGCTCTACTGTTTTTTTTAAAGCATTAAAAATAATTTGTCCCTAAAATCAATGAACAGCTGTGAGAAATGTTCTCAATATTGATCAAAATAATCATGATTAGAATTTTAACCATAATGATGCATCCCGACCTATGGATATGCATAAGTATAAACATTTGATCCAATTCTGTCTTCATTGTACATAAACCACATATCTGACTATAACTTACCAAACTGTAGTTAGATGGTGACTGCTAAGTCTCATAAAACAAATTTACATAGCTTTAAATCATGCAAGCACAAAGAAGGGCAATGTGGCTGTTAACTGCAAAGTGCTTCAATGCTGGATACAGATACTGGAATTTGAGGGAAATCTAATCACCATAGTGTTTCCTTTTTTGCTTTATTTTGGCATGCGTTCATACAAATGACAGACTGAGAGGCAATGCAATCTGTCTACGGAAATGAAATGTTTTGCCTCACAATTTATTTATGTCACTAATCATTTAGCTTTCCATTGGATGGGAATAATGCAAACCTGTATCAAATCCAGTCCTTTCCTACAAACCACACAATATCTGATTACTTAGTGCGAGCAATCAGCGTGAGTGCTGACAGGGTTATAACTGTTTAGGGGCTCAAATCAAAAGATACTTCAGTCTTTCGCATGTCCTTTAAATTACTGTCCGAAGGCTTATCTTAGATGGGAGTGCACACCAAATATGGTTGTTTTAACAGAGAAAAAGCACTCACAAGCTTGCCTCCAAAAACCTTCTGCCTCCTTTAGGGGCACACTCGTAAATCCTGCTGTTTACCCAGCCTGGCCTCATGTGAACCCCTGAAGAGATATGCCTGACTACGGCACCAGTCACAGGGCTCATAAAGCATCACCGAGTGTAAAGGGCTCGCCTCCAAACTTATTCCTGCAGCAACGGAGAGACTAATCGAGTTGATTTATTTGCTGTGACAACTTTCAATCACTTTATCACGTGCTCAAGAAGCCTTCGTTTGGTATTTATATTCTCCTTACAGGAGATTTCAACCATCATTCAAGACTTGAAGAGAGTGGAAAGGCAACTGACAGGTATGTGTCTGATGTTTCTTATCAGTTTTTAGAACAAAAAGGTTTAAGTTTGCACATATGAGCAGTCTTGGGTGAACTATAACTCATAAAAAAAATATTTTTAGTATTCTGTGGAATCACTTCAGTGTGCAGTTTTGTGTTGAAGTGAGCAGGACTCATTTCACAAGTTTGTTCTGCTCTAAACTGATAGTGATTGACATGATGGTGGACCCAGATGGAACCTTGGATGCCCTGTCCAACCTGGGCCTGACCAGTCCTCTGACAGACCAGAAGCTCAGCCCCGGCACCCAGCAGGGGGTGTCGGTGTTGCACCCCGGAGCTGAAGCTTCACTCTCAGCCTCCAGGCCCGACGGACTGTCCACTGAACCCTGCGGAGCTTCAGTCCGAGCGCCAGAGCGAGACCCAGGCCCCCAGCAGAGCTCCAGAACCTACAACTGACACACCAAAGGAATGATTTAGAGTGCATCCTTTACATCGGACATATCCTGAAGCCCTTGGAGCAGACCTTGGTGTGAGCTTAGAAGATTTTTTTAGTATTTGGTTTGACATAAGGAAGTAGAGTGATGCCTTTTCTTCCAGGAAAGTCTGGCTGCTCTGCCAGTACAACTAAATCATGATGGGACCCTGAAAGTCTGACACTTGTGATGGCAGATATACCATATGAAAACATAACAGTATTACTTGCTGGGCTTTTGAAGAAGCTTTGACATCATATACAGTTAGTCCATCTGTGTTTTTGTGTTGCAGCTCATTCTTATTATCCATTATTCTCAAAAGCATTTCAAAAAAAGGACATATGTAATGTTAAAGCTAAGTCCTCTTTCAATTAATTCTCTGTTTTGGTTTCAGAACAGACAGAACTGACCTTTAACCTTAAAGCAAAAGCTTGTCTTAAGCCCAATGAAGAAACCCAAACTAGAAAGGTGCAGTGGTGTCAAAAAAAAAAAAGGTGCAAAAGAGGCGGGTAAATGTGAACTGTTCTTCTATCCTGCCATAAAATTATTTATTAAAAAAAAAAAATCTATTTTTTGTCTTTTTTCCAAAAGCTCAAGCCTGTCTCAGTAATGATTTTCCATCAGAAACAGCCGTGGTGCTTATTTGCTGGGAAAAGAACTGAGTGTGTACAGTATGTACCGGTATAAATGTTTATTATAGTCAAATCTAAAACTTCCATCCATGCCTATTTTCTTGCGCTATTTTCTCATTTGAAAACCATCGTATCAAAGATTGACCCTGTGTGTTGATAGAAACTATGAAATCAAATGTAGCTCCCAGAACAGGTTTTTCCTCTTCCAAATGTATTTTGTCACAAGTGCCCTGGATCAAACAATCATTACAGTTGGAGATAATAGACAAAACATTGCCTGGGAGATGACGAGAAGGAGGCGAAATTTGTTGTTTTGCACATTTCAACGCTAACACGTGTTATTATTACTCTCTGAGGGACCAGGACATGACGTGCCCCAATCCTTTATTGTGTTCATGTCTTTGACCAAAAGCAGGGTTTAAAAGCCACCTGTCTGTAGAAGGACAGTTTGTCAAACTGCTTTCTGATCGCAAACGAAATGTTTGAACCAGCATAGACGGGGACTACCTCCGAGTCCTGCAGCTGCATTTTATCATTACCAATGCAACAGAACGGTCGACGGTGTAATGACTGTAGGTTTTCCAGTGTCTTGCCTCATACCGATGTTTACACATGAATGTAACCTGATCAGAACTGTTGGATAAAACTTAGCCAAAACGACTTTAATAAATAATTGCATTTTGTGCTCATACTTTGTCTTTAATTCTGTTTGAGCATTTTGACAACTTTTTTTTTTTTTGTTTGGATGTTTTGTATGAAGTTTTTTTCTTCTTCTTTGTATTGATGTTAGGTTAAATGTTGACCTTGCAATATCTGTGTACTGTTTGTCTCATTTCCAATAAAATGCATGATAATCATGAGCTATTGCGCTTGTTTTTTTTAACATAAATTCAAATGTAGCACACAGCTTTTATTTAAATAGTGACGGAATTTATGTTTGAAAGTGGTAGAAGGAAAAGTTCACCTTTACAATTACTGCACTCTTTCTATTTTATGGTCATTTAAACTTCTATTACACACTAGCATTTGAAAGTAAAGGACTTATGCCTATAAAAAGTTATTTTTCATTGCTTTTCAACACAGAATAGTGGTGAATTTAGTTGGGATTTTTGTCAAGAACTTATGAAAAAAATGGGTTGCACGGTGGTGCAGTTGGT